CGTTTTAAAGCAGAAATCCGAAGACTGCACTCTTAATTACTATACTATATTGACTCTCAAATGAGACAGTACCTCTGGGGTCCTACAGCCCAATGAGGATGAAATGAGATTACACATGTGAACATACTTCGTAAACTCTAAAGAGCTGTGTGAAGGAGAGGGTCTATGTTAAATTCCCCACCAAAGTGCCCTCCTTCCTCCTCGCTGCTCTCTCACTCCTCCCCATCTCCAAGGTACAACTCAAGCTCATCTCCTCCTGGGAGCCTTTCCTGGTCAACCAAACTAACTCGGATGTTCCTGAGCTCTGAGCCACCACAGGACTCTCTGCGCATATCTCCCTTGGCCCTAAGCAATGCTGCTTCATTGTATTGTAAGCACAGAGCTTGGCTGATATGCATAGTCAAATGTAGATCTTTTAGTATACGAGAGCTTTCCTCCTTCTTCCTACAGGCAGGAGACCCCGATTTGTCTAAACAAGAATGAGGTTTGAGGGGAAAGAGTATTGTGTTTCCTTGGTGATAGGTTAGGAGTTAAAGTGGCTTCTGTTGTCCTGCATTCTGAGCTTCTCCCTCTTGCGTCTTCTCCCGTCTCCAGACCTTTCCTCCGGGCGGTGGGGGCAGTGGCGTGGCTGTACCCACAGGTGTTGTCACTGGTCCAGAGGCTGTATCCTTTTACTCCCTCACTCTTACCAGAGCTCTGATGTGGGTTTTAAGAGATTCAGTTCATATTTGCACAGAGCTTCAGCCAAGGTGGTGGTGGGAAAAGTGGACTGGTCTCTGGCTAGAAGCAGATCTCCACCAAAAGGTTGCCAGTTCAATTCTGTCATGGCATATGCCCAGGTTGTGGGTTCAGTCCCAAGTCAGGGTGCATGCGGGAGGCAAATGATTGGTGTTTCTCTCGCACATCAATGCTTCTCCCTCCCTCTCCTCCCCTCTCCCTCTGAAATCAATGTAAACATTTTTAAAAAATAATAGTTAAGATGGAAATTTTATGTTATGAGCATTTTACCGCAATAATAAAAAAAAAAGTTAGGAAAAAAAGATCCTGGTTAATTATTCAAGAGACAGATTCTATCTGACAGTCTTTACAGAACATTCTACTAGAGAGAAATGTGTCACCTCTTGTCCCTTGACTGATGTGATTATTATGAAGGAAACTGAGCTTTAACCCATGACTGAGGCTGCAGGGAGCTCTCAGGTGGTCAGTGCTCATGTACTGGAGCGCCTCTGAACACACAGGTGAAATAGACACACTCACACTCCAGGGCTGCAGGGCACAGCTCCATGTGCAGCGGTCGCACGGCCCTGTCCCACGTGTGTGCACCAGGGCAGAAATCCAGTCCCTCTGGATTCTCCTCTGTACTTTCCAGACCCTTCATCTTAGAGACCCTGGAAGCTGAGGCTGATTTGGCTGGAAGTAGCCAGCAGGAGCAGTTAGGGAGGAGAACCGCTAAGGAGAGAACAACAGACAATGAGACGGTCATGTCACCCTGGTCTGCCTCCATCCTGCTGCAGATTGTCCCAGGTCTTAGGATCCTACTTCCCAACTTCGTTTTATGTCTATAGCAGTGGTTCTCAACCTTCTGGCCCTTTAAATACAATTCCTCATGTTGTGACCCCAACCATAAAATTATTTTCGTTGCTACTTCATAACTGTAATGTTGCTACTGTTATGCATCGTAATGTAAATATCTGATATGCAGGATGGTCTTAGGCGACCCCTGTGAAAGGGTCGTTTGACTGCCAAAGGGGTCGCGACCCACAGGTTGAGAACCACTGGTCTAGAGCTTTCATCCAATACACGAGCACAAGCCACGTGAGGCTACTGAGCGCTTGAAATATGGCTAGTCTGAATAGAGATGAGCTGCAAGTGTAAAATACATCGCAGAATTTAAAGATTTAGTACCAAAAAAAGTAAAATATCTCCTGAAAAGATGTTGTTTACTGATAAATGCTGAAATGATAGCCTTTGGATGTACTGGGTTAAATAAAATACATTATTAAAATTAATTCCATCTGCTTCTTTTTATTTTTTTTAATTAAATATGTGGCTCATCTTATATTTTTAGTCTGCAGCCTATCCTGATCCCAGACTATTTGGCTGGGCCCGGACCCCCTGCTTGGATCTTGTAATTTTTTTCTCTCACAGAAATGGACCCCTGCTCCCTGTTGAGGGCCATTGCTGAATGAAATAAAGAATGAAATAATGCTGTACCCACCTGAGGTGGACATCACCTCCTGTCTGGACTTCTTCCTGCTGTTTCCTCTAATTTGGGGGCCAGAGCGCTCCCTCCCCTCCCCAATATCGATTCTGCTGGAAGTCCCAGCAGAGGCTGGTCTCTGGCCTAGATGCAGGCCCAGAACTTTCCAGGAAGCCCCCTGGAGTCTGGGCCCACACCACTGTTAGGGTAAGGACAGGTGGCCACAAGTGTACATATTTTTCCCCCTTCCTTCTTATCCACCCAATCCTCCCCCACCCTTCCCCTCTTTTTTAAAAGTCTAATTCAGAGCAGCCGGCTCCGTTCAGCCTGACTGGTTTGTTATGGCTTATAATCTGCGCCAGGATTAATTAGCTAATTACTGACAAACGTCCGCTGGCAAGATTCTGCTCCAGCTTGTCAGCTTGAAGTGTTTAATTATTTTAATCATTTACTTCCATCTTCAAAATTTATGCTGCCAAGAGAGTTGCGGGGCATCTTTTAATTATGATTTGGGGTTTCTGCTGGGCTGTGTTCTGTTTCTGGGGACAGCGGACATGATTTTTTACTAGTCTGCCACCAAGGCCTGAACACCTTCGACTCCAGGGCCTAGCGCCATGATCCACGGATGGGAAGTGAGGAGGCACCCAGATCTTCTCTGGGTACTGTCCCTTCTGTACCCCCAGAGCATGTTGTGAACCTGCATTTAAAAATATGTATATATTTTTATTGATTCCAGAGAGGATGGTAGAGGGAGAGAGAGATAGAAACATCAATGATGAGAATCATTGATTGGCTGCCTCCTGCACGCCGCACACTGGGAATTGAGCCCAAAACCTAGGCATGTGTCCTGACCAGGAATCGAACCATGACCTCCAGGTTCATAGGTCGATGCTCAACCACTGAGCCATGACAGCCGGGCTGAACTTGCATTTTGTGAGTACCTATTGTGCACTGGATATCATGCTGGATGTTTCCATCAGTTCACATTTGTGAGCACAAAGCATATGGGAACAGCCTGAGAGCTGACAGAGTGGCCTGGGGGTGATCAGTGGTAAGTAGAAAAGTAAGGAATGGGTTCATTTACTTATTTGTCTATAGTGTAATTTATAGTCATGTGAGATCACCTTAAGTATAAAGCTCAGTGGTGTCGCCCACCCAGAACAAGGTACCCTAGAGACTCCCTTGTGCCCCCTCCCCACCATTACCTGCTAAAGATGACCATTTCTGCACCATAGATTTGTCTTGTCTAGTCTTCACTTTCATGTAAGTGGCATGTCCTCTTTCAAGTGTGACTTCTTTTGGTCAAACTTTGTCTGTGAGAGGAAAGTTTCTTTAATATAAATCATATTCCCTGGCCAAGGCTTTGGTTGGGGTCCAGTTGAGAGATTCAACCCCAGTCTTTAGAAAGATTTCCTTTAAAAAAAAAATGTTTATTGATTTCAAAGAAGAAGGGAGAGGGAGAGAGGGAAACATCAATGATGAGAGAGAATCATTGATTGGCTGCCTCCTGCACGCCCTCCACTAGAGATCGAGCCGCAACCTGGACATGTGCCCTTGTTCAGAATCTGGAACCTTTCAGTCCACAGGGTGATGCTCTATTTACTGAGCCAAACCAGCTAGGACGAGATTTCCTTTCTTAATAGCATTGTCCTGGAAACGAGTTTGGATGTGACTTTTCTTCTCCATTCCTCTGCTTCTCTGCCTCCTCCTCTTCCTCTGCCTTCTCTTCCCCCGATCACCATGTCATATTAGGAAGTTACTAGTATTTCTGAGGTTCAGTTCATGCCATTCTGGATGCAAAGGCTTATGGTGTTCAGAGAGGTGTATTGAAAGGCAAAAAACTGTCCCCTGTTATGGGTTGAATTCTGTCCTCCATAAAAGATATGTTGGAGTCCCAGCCACCATTATCTCAGAATGTGACCTATCTCAAGGTAGGGTCTTTACAGAGGTAACCAAGTTAGAATGAAGTCATTAGGGTCAGTCCTAATCCAATATGACTAATTCCTTATAAAAGGAGGAAATTAGGCTTGGCTGGTGTGGCTCAGTGGTTGAGCATTCTATGAACCAGGAGGTTACTTGTTCAATTCCCGGTCAGGGCACAAGCCTGGGGTTGTGGGCTCGATCCCCAGTAGGGGGCATGCAGGAGGCAGCCGATCAATGATCCTCATCATTGATGTATCTATCTCCCTCTCCCTTCCTCTCTCTGAAATCAATAAAAACATTTTTTCTAAAGGGAGAAGAGAGAGGGAATGCCTATAAATTAGGGAATGCCAAAGAGAGCCAGCAACTCACCAGAAGCTAGGGAGAGGCATGGAACAGATTCTCTCCTCAGGCCTCAGAAGGAACCAACCCTGCTGACACCGTGATCTCAGGCTTCTGACCTCTAGAACCGTGACAGAATATTCTGTTGTTGAAGCCACTTAGCTTGTGGTACTTTGTTACCGTAGCCCTAGCAAACTCATCTACCCCCAAAGGGAGTGCTGGTCAGTCTTTCTGAATCTGTGTCACGGGACCAACTGCAACCCAACCTCTGCAGAATTCTCTGTGCTGGAGCCACCAAGGGGTAAGTCAGTCCCAGGCTGGGGGTGACTGAGGCGACAGCTCAGAGCTGGGAGACTGAGGAGAGAAGAAAGATGAGTTTAATGAGCTCATCAATGCCATTAATGAGGCACCAGGCAACATCCAGGGGGCTTCTGTGACAACCTATACCAGGGCAAGACAAGCCGAAAGATGCCACAAACCAGATCAGCCCGAGTTCTGACGTGATGTGATCTGTCCTCTTGATGCCTTCCTTCCACAGAGCCCAGGATGCGGCGGGAGTAGACACAGAGTCCTTGCCCACTGGCTGAGATGGCTTGGAACTCCCCTCTCCTTCTCTGGACTTGGGTATGACCCCGCACATGGCATTGCACTTTCTAACATGTAGTTCATACCTGAGCCCACCCTCATACACCTCTCATGCCCTCAACTGTGCCAGGCTTGGCTAAGAAACTCTCAGCTTTAACCTGAATTCAAATGACACCGACCTAACTAGGTCCCTGGATCCACTCCTGCTTGGTCTTTTCTAACTTATTCTCTACACCTCATCTAAGTGATCCTTTTAAAATACAAATCTGACTATATCCTTTTGCTGCACAAAATTCCTATTGGTCTCTCACTGCCGATAGGATAAAATCCAAACTCTGAAGGAGGACTTAACAGGGCCCTCTGTGTTCAGACCCCACCTTCCTCTGTAGCCTCATCTCTCACACCTACCCCCTTGCCTTCTACATGCCTTTTCAGTTCAGCCAAACCCTTTTCACCTCCTCAAAGCATGCTATCTCTTGCCTTTGGATATTTGAATATACAGTATTATCTCTGCCTAGAACGCCCCAATCCCCTCAATCCCTCCTCTTACCTAAATAATTTGCCCTTCAGGGTTCAAATTGGACAATTGCTTCTCCTTAAAGACCCCACCCCCATCCATCGATTTATTTATTTGTCCAGTTATTCAATGAGGGTAGCTCATGTAAGATTTAAGAGCCTCGAGGAGAATGCTCAGTCCACTCATGGACCTGCCAGGGAAGGGAGAAAACTGAGCAAAGAGGATTATAAGGTCCTAATGGTTTGTTAGAAGGCAAAGCTACGGGGAAAGCAAGGCTTCTCTGAGCATAGAATGAAAGTACATGGTAAAATAGTTAACAATGAGAACTATGGGATTTCTCCCATGTATGTTTTAGTTAAAAGTTTCTCTCTGGCCATTATGAATTTATAAAGGGTCTGTAGGAAACTCTACATTGGCTTTAAAAATGAACTTAGCAAGCCATGTTTATTGGGCACTACAGATACTAGGCGAAGTATGTAATACATATTATCTACCACAATCCTTGTGACAAGGTGAGTGTTATTCCCATTTTGCAGATGAGGAAAATAAGATTCAGAAAGGTTAAGTGATCTGCCCAAATTCTCACAGCAAATTAGTGACAGAGTCAAAGTTCAAACCTAAGTCTATCTGAACCCAAAGCCAAGTTCTTGATCTTGACATTCATCTGCCCATTATTACTACTGGGATGAGTTTAAAGAGCGGTTCAAATGCATCAAGGAGTGGGGAGCCCATCGGTAGTCCCCACACTTACTGTCCCCATGGCACCCATCCTCTGTGTGCTGACAGTTTGACAATTTACACAGCAGCTGGTTTGCTCGGAGGAGATCTCTGTTAATTAAAATAGCACGAAGGGAGAACAGCACACAAACCATGTCAGCAGGTAATTAATGCAAAGGAGGGCATGCAAGAATGCTCAGCTTCTACCTGCCAGAGCACAGCTTCATTCACTGCCCCCGAAGTTGCCACTTTGTCCCTCTGGCCATGAGCTTCTACCTGCCTGCCTACCTCCGTGGATGGGAGATGCAGGACCTGTCCTCTGGGCCAGAACCTGGGCTACTACTCTTACTGGGCTCTGTCCTCCTCAACCTCCTCTGAGCTGTCCCTCTCTCCCAGAGGATGCAGGAGGACAGGAGGAGCCAGAGATAAGCTATCCAGGACCCAGGACTTGGGACATTATCTCTGAGGAAGTGTTAGTCCCTGCATGCCCCTGCTCCATCAAGCAGTGCCCTGTTTATCTCCCAGGGCAGGGATCTTTATTATTATTACTATTCATTGATTTTAGAAAGAGAGGTAGGGAGAGAGAGAAAGAGAGAGATAGGGAGAGTTTTGTTGTTCCACTTATTTATGCATTGATTGGTTGATTCGTATTTGTGCCCTGACCAAAAGGCATATCTGGACAATGCTCCAACCAGTTAAACTACCTGGCCAGGGCCATAGGAGTCTTGCATAAGCTGACCTAAGTATCTACTGTATTGGAATGACCTGAACCCAAACCCACCATTGCTTCTGCCCAGAGCTTGGGATTGCTTTTCTGCTGGACCTACTGGTACAGCCTGGTCCTGAATCTCACTCCTCCGCTGGGATCCTGACCTCTTTCCTGTCCCTTTGTTCATTTCATTATCACCATATCCCCAGCAGGTTCCCTGCAAGAGGATATTCCTCCATGACACAGATGAACAAACTGAAGTTCACAGCAGCAAAGTAGCTTGTCTAAGGACAACGGAAGTCTTCCTTTCTCTGTTCAGAGACTGTGTTCTTCTGGGATTCCAGCCATGGGTTCAGCTATAACTTGCTTCTCTGTTTCTAATAAAGCTTTTATTTTGGAATAACTTTAGATTTACAGAAAAGTTACAAGATAGTACAGAGTTCCTGTATACCCCTCACTCAATTTCCCCATTGTTAACATTTCCTATTTGCCAAAACTAACATTCTGTACCTGGATTTAAGTCAGGCACTTGTTTCTCCCTGGGAGATGAGCCCTAAGTTTCTTTCTTCTTCATCCAGAGGATGGATGAAGAGTTTGGATGCTTGCAATGTGACCTCTTCATCACCAGCACAGCCCTCCTGCATTCCTACCTTGCCCAACCCCCCAGACAAAGCCAGAAGGACCATCAAGGAGAAATAGTGATAGGGCCAGAGCTCAAATTCCCAGGTAGTGTCCTTCACTTATCAAGCCCCTCTTTCCATAAGCCCTGAAAGTACCTGTTGCTCACAATCACCGCCTCCCCCACCTGCTAACCTCTTCGCCAACTTTACCATTAATCCTGTGGGCACCCACCCAACGTTAACTTCATCCTTAAAGATCTCAATCAGATTCAACTCAGCACATATCTATAATAATAAAAGCATAATATGCTAATCAGACTAGACAGCTGGACGACTTTCCGGACGAAGCCAGGGCTGCAAGGGCCTCTAGTTTATAAATAAGACAGAAACAAATCCAATCTAGTCTCTGACCTTGAGCAGTTCCTGATCTTTTGGGGAAAATAGACACCTCTCTCTATGATTAAAGCAGCATGTGGCAAGTGAAGCAGTGTTGCACAATGGTTAAGAGCTTAAGGTCTTTAATCAGAAAGCTACATGACCTTGGGTAAGTGACTAGTTTCCATGAGCATCAGTTTTCTCAACTCTAAAATAACCTACTTCACAATGTTTTTATGATCATCTAATTTTAAAAAAACTCAATATCTATCATTTATTAAGTAGTTACTGTCAGACACTGTACCAGTTGTCTTGCCTTGCTTAAGTCAAGGCTTACAAGTGAAAACTTACTTGCCTTTACAGTCAAGGTTAGGGATGATGGTGGCCTGAATCAAGGCTTAGATCTCAACACCTTCATGGGCTTCATATCTTTGATTCCCACTCACCGCAGAAGTAATTCATAGTATTTTTTGGCATTGGAAATTTTACCTTTGTTGCTTCAAGGTCAATTTCACTTTTTTTGTTTGTTTGTTTTACTAGAAGGAAAAAACCTAAAACCTCCTATGCCACATTTCTATGTGTTTGGATCAAAATGTCAGCTTGGTCTGATATATTTTTTTTAAATTGATTTGAGAGAAAGGGAGGGAGAGAGAGAGAGAGAAAGGAACATTGGTTTGTTGTTCCACTTATTTATGCATTCATTGGTTGCTTCTTGTATGTGCTCTAACTGGAGATCGAACCCCCAACCTTGGCTTATGAGCCAGGGTCTCAGTCTGATATCTTAAGCAGAGATGCTAGGAAGAAATCACAAAGGTATAATACGGACATTGAGACAATGATGTCCCATAAGACAATAGAGAAAAATGGCCCTGCCAGTGTGGCTCAGTGGTTGAGCATTGGCCCAGGAACCAAGAGGTCACCAGTTCAATTCCCAGTCAGGTCACATGCTTTGGTTGGGGTCAAGAACCCCAGTAGGGGGGTGGGCAAAAGGGAGCCTATTTTGACGATTTTCATTGATGTTTCTATCTCTCTATTCTTTTCCCTTCCTCTCTGAAAATCAATAAAAATAATAATATAGTCTTAGAATGGATAACAAAGTTAATATTAAAAAATAGAGGAAAATATATCAAGGAAAGGGATCAAGTGCTTCATATAAAAGATTGCATTGTGGACAAGTGAAATAAGAATGAATGGACCATTAAATTTGAAGACAGGGAGGTCATTGATTACCCAGGTATTTTATGGAGTAGTGGGGGAATCCTAATTGTAGTGAACTAAAGATGAAAGGGAGGTGATGGAGAGAGGAATATGGGAGGTCCTCCTTCTGAAACGGGGCTTTGCAGAGAGGAGACAGCTTGTGGTAGTGGGAGAAAGGGTGGGAGAAAGGTGTCCTTGAACTGAAGGAAGGAAACAGTGGAGGCAAAAGAGACAGAAGATGCAGGGAAGAAAAGGTGCCCCACAAAGGCTAGAGAAGGCAGGGGTCAAACCCAAAGGTGTCCACAATGAGCTATTACATCACATCTGTTAGGATGGCTATTATTAAAAACAACAACAACAACAACAACAAACAGAAATTACAAGTATTGGCAAGGATATGGAGAAAAGGGAGCCTTCATGCTCTGTTAGTGGGCATGTAAATTGATGCAGCCACTATGGATAACAATATGGAGATTCATCAAAAATTAAATAGAATTGCCATGTTCATTGTAGCATTATTTACAACTAGTGACCCGGTGCACAGATTCATGCACATTGAAAGGAAATTAATTAGAACGTGGCTGGCGGGGCTGGACTGAGCGAGACTGGCCCAACACGCCCTGGAGCCAACCTCCCGCGATCCCTCCGCAGCATCTGTGGAGTGAGGGGGGTCCCTCTGGCAGGTGGGGTCCCTTGGGATTGGGCCGAAACCAACTCTATGACATCCTCTGAGGGGTCCCAGAGTGAGAGAAGGCACTCTGCAAAGTTGCTGTTGTACAGAGTATGGCATGCAAATGCAAGTGTGCAGTAAACCAGATTTGGGGATGACAGTGCCCCAGCAACAACATAACACACAGCCGAAAGTGGAATCGCATGGCCCCGAGAGGAATTGGGCTTCCTCCTCTCTGGTTTCAGGGTGCATCACCTGAGAACGCTGCTGCCAAGTCACTGCAGTTTGGCAGCTCCTGTGTTGAGCGTCTGCCCCCTGGTGGTCAGTGCGTGTCATAGTGACGGGTTGGATGGTCAGACACTTAGCATATTAGCCTTTTATATATATAGACTAGTGGCCCAGTGCACAAAATTCATGCATGGGTGGGTGTCCCTCAGCCCAGCCTGTACCCTCTGCAATCTGAGACCCCTCAGGGGATGTCCTACTGCCAGTTTAGGCCCAATCCCACATGGATCGGCCTAACCTGGCAGTTGGACATCCCTCTCGCAATCCAGGACCGCTGGCTCCTAACCACTCACCTGCCTGCCTGACTGATCGCCCCTAACCACTCTGTCTGTTGGCCTGATCGTCCCCAACTGCCACCCCTTCTGTCCTGCTTGCCCCCAACTGCCCCCTCTGCCAGCCTGCTACCCCCAACTGCCATCCCCTGCCAGCCTGATCGCCCCCAACTGCCCCCCCTGCCAGCTTGCTCACCCCCAACTGCCCTCCCCATCAGCCTGATATCCTCCAACTGCCCCCCCCCCTTGCTGGCCTGATCACCCCTAACCTACCTCTGCCTGGCCCCACCACCATGGCTTTGTCCAGAAGGATGTCCGGAAGGTCTCCCAGAAGGTCTCCCGGTCTAATTAGCAAATTACCCTTTTCTTAATATAGATAATCAAGATATGGAAAATACATAAGTGTCCATCAGTGGCTGAATATATAAAGAAGATGTAGTGTTACACCTGAAACTAATACAAAATAATATTGAACATAAACTGTAATTGAAAAAATTTTAGATTGAAAATAAATAAAGAAGATGTGATACACAGACACACGCAATGGAATACTACTTAGCCATGAAAAAGAATAGAATCTTGCCATTTGCAACAACAGGAATGGGCCTCAAGTGCATTATGCTAAGTAAAATAAATCAAACAGAGAAAGACAACTATCACATGATCTCCTTTATGTGTGGAATCTAAAAACCAAAACAAACAAAAGCCAAGCTCACAGATACCGAGAACAGATTGATGGTTGCTAGAGGGGAGGGAGGATGGCATATGGGTGAAATGGATGAAGGGGAACAAAAGGTTCAAACTTCCACTTACAAAATTAGTAAGTCATGGGTATGTAATGTACAGCGTGGTGACTATAGTTAATAATACTGTATTGCTTATTTGAAAGTTACGAAGGGAGTAAAGATTAAAAGTGCTCATCAGAAGAAAAAAATAATTGTAACTATGTGTGGTGATGGAGTATAACTAGATTCATTGTGGTGATCATTTCACAGTGTATACATATATCAAATCATTATTCTGTACACCTGAAATTAATATGTTAATTATATCTCAATTCAAAAAAAAAGAAGAACAAAAGTTGTTGGACTTTCCCAGAAGGAGAATTCAGAATCCAGAGGGGAAAAAAGGATAGAGAGAACACAGAGGTCATTTGAGTTGGGGTCGGGGTCAGGTGGGGGGAAATGGAGTCAGTAGCTTGGCCCTGATTGAGGGGATAAGAAGGAGCAGAACAGGTAGGGGTTTGGGGTAGGAGAGTAGGAGAGTTCTGTCATCCAGGATAATATGAGCATAGGAGAGGGGGCATCACTGAGTGAGCTCTGGGGGGAAAAGCCAACCTCCCACAACCCTCTGTGGGCCACCCTGAAGTAGGTGTCAGCCAGGTAAGTGTTGCAGGAGGCCGAGGATGGGGGAAAATGGGTGCTAGTAAGAAGGTAGAGCTGGCACAAGTGCACCTGGGTAGAGTAAGGATTTGGTGGGGATTGGGGAGCGGGGAGGGCGATAGCTACAAGCCATCCTTGGGCAGAGAGTAGAAGCAAGGACTATTGGGTAAAAGTAAACTTTTCCAAAAGCGGATCTTGGAAAATTTTTCTTATATGTAAATTACTTTGTAGTTCTCTTTGACTGGGACTTGATCAGTAAATAAAGAACAAATGAATGAATGATACATAGATCAAGTGAAAACACAGAGAGAGAGAAATGGGGGAGAGAAACAGGCAGTAGGTAGGTGGCTAAGTGAAGAGAAGAGCATAAAATAGCTGGACTGACTGACTCCTCCCTAAAATTGGTCTTCCTAGACTTGGTTATGGCCTCTGTGTTCCTCTTCCTTTTCTTTCCTCTGTCTCCTTCTCTAGCTATCTAGTTGCTGCATCTATGGCAGGTGCGTGGGGCGCTGGGGTGGGAGGCAGCAGCTTCAGGGAGGCTGGGTGGCAGTATGAGCTGAAGCTGAGAGGGGGCGGGCGATGGAGAGGGAGAGGCAGCAGTGCCCCAGGCATGGAAGCTGCAGAGGTGTCAGAGACAGACTTAATGACAAGCCTGGGGTCCACCTGCACAGATGAGCGGGGCTGGGAGCTGGGAGCTGTGGGGAAATTGGAAAAGGGACACGTTCATTTTTCAGCTTTCCCTCTCTACACACACACACACACACACACACACACACACACACACACACACACACACTTTTAATAAAAGCCAGAGGGTTACTCTGTTCTGGCTCTCACTCCATTCCACAAAGGAACCCTAGGAGAGGGGTTGTAAAGAGGGACAAAGAGGGTCCTGGGGAAGGAATGGGGTTGCTTTCTCCCTTGAGCTTTGCCACTGTCCACACACCTGCCTGGGGGAGACCCAGCCCGCCAAGTCTTTGCTGAGCTAGGGGAGGGGTGGGTGGAATTGGAGAACCAAGGACAAGGCTAGGAGATGCCCAGCACTGGAGCAGGCATGTGGCCAGAACCCCAAACCTCCAGAGCCCCAGCTCAGCCCCTCAGAAGAGGCCTAACTGCGGTCTGAGAAGGCTCCTGAGTGCCCCCTCCCCGACCCCCATACACTAGGGTCACAGGCCACTCACTAAGCCCACAGCCCTTAACTCCTGTGCTGGGTCTTCTTCCCTGACCCTAGAATTGGGACAATAGGAGCAGAGCTGAGCTGAACCACTGGGCCAGGAAGGGCTGGGTTGCCTCTAAGGTCAGTACCTCAGGACCCAATTTCAGTCCCCACAGTCCACAGTAATTCCCATCTCTTCTAGAAGAGTGCTACATCTGTGGGCGTTACACTAATACTGTGTTCACAGGCAAGGGCATCACCCCCAGCTCCTGGCACTGGGAAGAAAGCCCCTCCCTCTGCTCTCACCTGCTTACGATGGGGCGGCTTTTGTGTCCAGTACACACGCATCTGCCCATAGAAGCTGGAGACTCCCCCAGGTGTCCTCGAGGCCATCTTCAAATAACAGTCACCTTGGGTGGCCACGAGTGCACCCCTCTCCCATGTGTCTCTGAGGATTTGGGAGGTGTTCGCACGTTCCTCTAACTCACTGCCCACCACTCCGCGTTGTTTTCCACAGCAGCCGCACCATTGTACTTTCCTGCCAGCAACGCACACAGGTCCCAGTTTCTCCACATCCCTGCCAACATCTGTTATTTTCTGTTTTTGTTTCCCAAGTTTGGAGCCGGTCAGCCTCTGCTGGGTGCCGTGACGAGTGCAGAGGAAGGTGGGACAATGAGTGGCCCGGAGAGACTTTCAGCCCAGACTTCCTATCCATGAAGAGCCTCAATTTTGTACTTTTATTTCCAATGAGATTGGGGGGGGGGGGATTTTTATATCACGATTAAAATAATTTATTAATGGAAGGGTTTAAATTATACCACACTTAAAAGCACAGTGCATTGGTATCAGATATTTTTTTTAGTGTACCCTTGATCCTCAAATAAATAAAAGTGGCCTGGACTCTGTCAACCTCTGAGAGGCCCTGACTGGCTGTCCCTCCTGAAAACATCCTCCTCAATCCTGCATTGTCAAAACTCAGCTGCCTTTTCTGGCTATTCTTCCTCTTTCCACCCCCTCAGTGTAGGCCTTCCTTCCCGAAGATGTAGTGTCTGCTCTCTGGCCCCTCAGGTCCCATCATATCAACCCCTACTTCCCATGTACCACCCTTGTATAACAAATGGTCCCTGGATCCCTGTCCACAAACACTGTCCTCCCAAGCCCAGACATGTATTTCCAATGGTTGCTTAAAGTCAGACTCTGAAATGGAGATCAGCAGGCAGGAAGTTTATTGGGGAGTGCTCTTGGGGTCAACATCAGTGAGGGAGGGAAGGAGCTAGAATTGGGCAGATGAAGGAACTGAATGGTCAAAACAAAGCCACAACCAATCCTACAATCAGCTCTGGCATCTGGATGGCCTTCAGATTTGTCCTGCCTTGAGCAAAGCTGCCCGGCCTTTATATGCCCACTTCAGTGGGTCTTGGATGTTGGCTGCCTAGGAAGGCAGTGTGACCGTGGGCCACTCTTCAGCTAAGGGCAAGAAGGGGCCCACCTGAGAGGTCTCAGCCACAAACTCTTCCAGAAATGGGGGAATGAGTGTTTGGGCCTTGAAAGAGGAACCTGGGTGATGTGCCACAGCATCCACCACATCAGGCACCACTTGGATGTGCTTGGGTATCTCAAACTCAACATGCCTCAGGCTGCACTGCTCCTTTTCTGGGTTCAGTAGTGTTATGACCAAACTCCTAGGTTTGTCAAGTCTGAGTCAGTTATCTTCCCTCTACTTTACCCTGCATCCAACTGATCCCTCATCCCATAGGATATTAGACTTTACCTAAAGTCTCTTGAATGCATCCCCATCTCCTCCTTCCCACCACCACTGGCCAGGCTCAGGCCCTCACAACCTCGTTCTTCAATGACCTTCCAACAGGTTCAGCGGAAAGAGCCACTTAGCACAGAATAGGTGCTACATAAAGGTCTACTGGGGTATTGATACAACAGAGAAAGAGAGAAATACATAGCTAGCCTTATTAGAAATCAGGATGGAAGGAAGGAAGGAAGGAAAAAAGGAAGGCAATTAAAATAACAGATTTAATAATATATAGTTAATTGTAATATTATCTATAACAATATATAGTATACTTTGTTAATTGTTATATATTCAATTATATCTAACAATTGATTTGGTATGTATTAAATTTGCAAGGATGTCTTTTAAAAATGACTACAATATTTCTTAAGAGCCATATAGATCCTTTGATGCAGGGATTCTAACTCAGAATTTACCCCAAACAATAGTTTGAAATATGAAGAAAAATATGAACAAAGATGTTAACTATATTATTATTCATTATAGTAAAAAATTGGAAGTAACTTAAATATTTAATAATAAGAGTTAAGTACATTTTAGTTAGTTCTATGTAACAGGAAATAATGTTTAAAGTGGTCAGAAAGTCTATGTAACAGCATGGAAGTTGATTATTAAGTCAAACATTCAGATTCATCATGCTTATGCATTACAATTGCAACTATGTAAAAAGTTTGATTAGGGAAAACAATCTGAGAGAAAATACACCCGCATGCTCAGAGGTCTTGTTTTAGAGAAAAGCAAAGTCACCCTAGGTCTCTTTAGTCCCTCTCCCTCCACCATAACCACCCCCTCATTCTTTGATTTTCCTTAGTATGTAAAGTGCTATGGAAATGCAACTTCAAGATCTGCTTCATCAGATTGCTATCGTAAGTCCCTCATACACAATAATTATGGAGTCACCGCCAGCCATCTATAACCCCACAACCCTATTTTTCAAAGTTGCAGCTGGCAGCCTTTCCATTTTTATAGGATGATGATATGATATGATATGATATGATATGATATGATATGATATATAATGTAATTATAATTACAATATAATAAATTAAAATATACCAGTACTTCATTTCTGCTTATTTTTAAGTAATATTTCATTATATGGATATATCACATTTTGTTTATTCATCCATCATTTGATAGATGTTTGAGTTGTTTCCACTTTTGGCTACTATGAGCACTTATGCACAAGATTTTATGTGGATATATGTTTTCAATTCTCATGGGCATATATGTATTAGGATTGAAATTGCTGGTTTGCGGAATTATGGTAGCTCTACGTTTAACCTTTTGAGGTACTGCCAGATTGTTTTCCCAAGCAGCTGCATCATTTACATTCCCACCAGCAGGTCATAAGGGTTCCAATTTCTCCATATCCTTACTGACACATAATCTGTTGTGGTTATAGCCATCCTTGCAGGTTTGAAGTGGCATTGCATTGTGGTTAGATTTGTATTTTCCTGATGGCTGGCTAATGATATTCACTATTATTCGTTTGTAACCCAAAGCAAACAAAGTAAGGTTGAAATGTCCCCATTATAAGAGTAATTCATGTTTATTAGATATTTTAGAAACAGGTTTAAAAAAAAACAACAAAAACTTTAAACCGCACCTAAATAGCACCATCTAGAGGTAACTACTCTAAAATTTTCAGTGTGTTTCTTTGAAATTTTTTTCTTTTTATTCTTTCAAAAATATGATTGAAGTTGTATGACACTTGCAATTTTGCTTCTGGCCTTTTCGCCTAATATAAAAAAATGGGAATTTCCCAAACCTCTTTCTAAACATTACTGGATGTAACCATTTCCTTCTGTTTCCAGCTGTCTTTAATATTGTAAATAATGCAGTAATACAGTGCTTTGATATTTCTCTTTTTTATTCGTTGTTCTGTCTATCCAGTAAGACTGGCATCTATGAGGATGGAGACCTGCCTTCTCCTCCCTCCCCATCCATCAGGACAGTGTTTGGTACAGAGTACACTTATTAAGTCCTTATGATGGGCCAGGCACTATTCTGACCACATGGTGCTTATCACTGCATTTAATCCTCACAACTTCCCTGTGATATAAGTAATATTATTATCCCTATTTCATAGATGAGGAAGTTGAAGTACAGAAATTTGTTAAACTGGTGGCTCCCAAAGGGAAGAGGGTGTGGAGGACTAGTTGAAAGAGGCCAAGGGATTCAGAAGTACAAATTGGTAGTTACAAAATAGTCATGGGGATGTAAAGTGTAGGGAATATAGTCAGTAATCCTATCTAATAAAGAGGGAATATGCTAATTGACCACCACACCCTCACAAGATGGTGGTGCCCACAGCCAATAAAGAGGGAATATGCTAATTGACTTCCACCCCCTCAAAGATGGCAGCACCCACAGCCACAAGATGGTGGCACCCAGTCTCCTTAGCCCCACTGGGGTGGCAGGCAAGCAGCATGGCCGGGCTTGCCCCCAGGCGGGTCCAGCCACTCTACACTCCTGCCTCCGGAGTCCCCCAGTTCCCTCCGCCCCCTCAGCTGCCCAGGGCTGGCCCAAGGCACAGGCATGCCTCAGTTGTTGGCTGCCCAGCTGCCCAGCGCCGGCCCGAGGCTCAGGTAACTAGGGCCTGAGGCTTGCACTACAGGCAGTGGCAGCAGCAGAGATGTGATGGAGGTGTCACCTTCCCCTGATCACCAGGTCACCTCCTGCCCTTGAGGGCTCCTGGACTGTGAGTGGGGGCAGGCTGGGCTGAGGGACTCCCCTCCAGTGCATGAATTTTCATGCACCGGGCCTCTAGTGTTTCAATAACTATGTATGGTGCCAAGTGGTTACCGGAAATACAAGGGGGAACACTTTGTAAAGTATATGATTGTCTAACCACTATGCTGTACCCCTGAAACTAGTACAAAATAATATTGAATGTAAACTGTAAAATAAAATAAAAAGAAATTTGTGCAAGGTCATCAGCTAGTAAGGGGCAGAGGTAGAAACTAAACCCAGACAACCTGGCTCCAGAGCCTGAAAGTCTTAACCACCAGCCACATCGCTTCCCTGTGATGATGGAGGCAAAGGGAATTGGAGGCAGGAGGACAGCTATCAGGTCTTTAGGGGTGGGTTGATCATATGTTTGAAATCTCTCAAACTCCATCTCTTAGTTTGGAGTGAAAGTCAGGAAGCCTGGGGGGAGGGAAGCAATTCAGATCCAGCTGACAGGACAGAAGCTTCTAAATGTCCCCAGCCCCGCACCTTCCAGTTAACCCCAAAGCATCAGTGCGGCCTTTCTCTAATGCAAATCTGATCCTGTCACTTCCCAGTTTAAAGCTTTCTGTTGCCCTCAGGACAAAATCCCCAGGTCCATACCTCTCTAGCTCAATCTCTCTCCATTCTGCACCAGGCCTCTCCTCTCCACTTTACAAGCAGACCCTACAAACCCCACCAGGCTCTCTCACTCCAGTACCTGTTGGACCACTGGCCTGGAGAACTCTTGCCACCTCACCCCAGTTTGGCCCCGCTCTAAGCCTCTGCTTACACACTCTAAGCCCTTCACCTGGATTGTGTTCCCTGCTAGACCTGCACTTCTCTCCTGACACTCATTACAGTTCTTGTAATTGCTTTTATGAAAAAAAAAAAATTTCTTATAGAAAAATTACATATAAGAAAAAACAAGAGAATATTCTTATCACACAATTTCAATTATCAACTCATGGCCAATCTGGTTTCATCTAACCCCCCAACTACTCCCCTCCTTCTGTATTATTTTTAAGTAAATAATACAGATCATTTTATTTCATCTTAAAATGTTTTATGTAGCAAGTGTCTCTAAAAAATAAGGACTTTTAAAAATCATAGTTATATTGCACAATATAAAAATGTTGAATCACTAAATTGTACACCTGAAACTAATAGAACTAACATAATATTGTGCATCAAGTTAAATAAGTAAATTAATAAAACATTTAAAAATCA